TCTGGTCCAGGGTGTGTTCTCAGCAGTTAATGCCTCTGTCCCACTCTCCATGGTGTAGTTGTTAATTTGGTCTTGCACTCTTCTGTGTGGATATTTTGGAACTGTATGTTCCAAATGGCAGATGAACCTTCCTGCCTAGAATGGTTAGGAAGGTTAGCTCTGGAAGGCCCTGGTAGAACAAAAACATTCAGTAATTAAGGGATGGACACAAAATGGCACTGATCTGTATTGCTACCCCTGAAGGAAGTGCTGTTTGCCATCTGAGTCATGATGTGTGGCCATGTGGGACAACCCAGATGGCTTTACTTAAGAAAAAAATTGCATCTCTTCAACCACCTTCAGGGAGGAACTGGGCACATAGTGTCTCAGGACTGAGACGTGGGATGGAAGAGGAATCAGAGCCAGATATTTCATCTGAGGAAAGCAAGAGTAGATCTGCTCTCCCTTTACCCAGAGAGATTAGGTTCTCACAATGGGAGTAGAAAACTGCTTAAGAAATTGAATCACACAACACAATCAGTAGAGAAAGGCCACTGCAACAAAGATAAAACATAAAAGGTTTATATAGGATAGCATTACACAATCTCTGACCATATACTTCAAAAATAGGCTCATCTCAAAGGTGACAGCAATCTGAACCAAGTTTGGAAACTAATTCCTGAAGGACACTGAAAGTACTGGAAAATGAAAATGTCACTGTAAATACAGTATTAGAAGTAGTATCTTAGCGCAGAGCCCTTTTATGGTTTTTGTTGTTGTTTTCTTTTTCTAGAATTGTGTTAATTTGAAGAAAGCTAACATTCATGACTTTTCACAGAAAATTCTCTTAGTCTGTATAAAGCAGAGGCAGCTGCTGGCTGTCTACAGACTGATTCGGTGACCTTCTCCCAGAGGACATCTCAGTACATTCCTCATTTCTGAATTTTTCCCTGACAGCTCCCAGTAATCTGACTTCCAGCTTCATCTTAAGTCTTCTTTATTTCTTAGATACTGATTTCAGCCACTTTAGTGCGTTGTCTTAAAACACTAAAGTCCTAAACCGAGTTACTTAATTGAACAGTATAAATAGGGAGTATCAGACCCAGCATGCGTGGCAGATCTCTGTATACTCAGGGTAAATCCAACACTTTTGGGACAGCTCCTCCCTTCTGAGCTGCACACAAGCATCTGCAATGCTCTGTGAAATGCCAGTGTAACTGCACAGGTACACCAGAATACCCAGATTGGCACACCTAAGTGCAGTTCTTCTGGTAAGGCCCAGACAAATCTGAAAATAAGAAAAATCAAATTGTACACACAGGCAGATTTTCTGAATAGGAAGATCATGAAACCTTGACAACTGATAATTGTTTGAGATTCTCTTTTGAGAAGCAACTTCAAATGCTTTATCTCTGTCACCACTGGAGTTGCATGTACTAAAAGTAGTGTCCAGATCTGGATCCAGTCATGATGAGAGTTCAAATTGGAGCACAGCTGCAGATTCCTGCCTCTGATTTGCTGCTCTGGAATGGGAGTTATGCACACCTGTGACTTTGCAGGTCTGCAGCACTGCAGACTCCCTCTATTTTCTTCAAAAAGAGGAAATGGGGAGTAGAAATTAGACATAGTCATGCAAGTTTGCTCAACACTCATGAATGGCTTTAAAAATTCATTACATCAGTCCAGCCTTTACCAAAGCATCCACAACACACAGTGGCCTGCACCTCCAGGGTATCCAATCACCCTTTGCACTCTCCAAGGCACTGAGATTTGCAAAGGGCCAGGCTCAGAAAAGCTGAAATGGGATACAAAGAGCTGTGTTCCCTGATCTTCACTAACTGTGCTCCAGATACCGCCTAGGATAATGCCTTGTCCAGGATACTTACTTCCAATAACCAAGGAAATGCTGACAAGGAGGACTGCCATAAAGGAAAATATGAGATACCACTTGCAGTTAACGGGATAACTGAAAGAAAACTGCTAGAGAAGCTGCAAACAGCTCCTTGTGTCTCCTTTCCATCAGCTGTTGTGCCACTGAGCCTGGGCACAGCTGAGAATTCAGCCCAAAGAATTATTCAAACTAATAGCATGTGAATTTTTTTAAACAAAGCAATCTCTCTCTATAGAAAGAGCAGAGCCGGTCTGTGAGTTTCCCTCCTGCAGGCAGCATTAAATTGTGTGATTATACTTCTAGAAAGAGAAAAGTATCAGGATGAAATGGCAACAGTTAAATGCCATATATTCTTCACCACTACAGACAATCTAGAGCTTGGCTTTTAAAAAGTTTTACTGTTCTACATTTGCATGATTGTCATTGATTTACTTTTAAAATTGAGCAAAAGTAAATAACATTATTTGATATGCTCTTTTTCGTTTTAATGGATTGAAAGTAATTGGCAGCATGGAACAACACTTCCCATTTAGAAGAAACATGGGAAGACCTAGCCTATTAATACATCATTCCAGGAACTTCAGTTTGTAGTAGAAATTTTATTTTAAAAGTCTTTATTAGTGAAGAGAACAATCCCAAATGATTGAACGTCACTGAACTGTCTTATTTCCTCGTTGGTATGGAGCAGTTTGGAACAACACATAGTGACAATGCTGAAGAGAGGGACCACATTAAAATGACAAGAAAGTAAGTATGTAAATACATAAGTGAGAGGCAGTAGATGACTATGGGGGGAGTGTAAAGACAAGGAGGGGAACGAGGGCACTCTGAAAGGCCAACTTCATCCTGGCCAAGCTGAATTCCTGAGGTGCTCTGAGCACTGGACAGTCTTGTGAGGCTGTTTCTTAACAAGGAGTTTATTTGCTGCCCCCATTGCCCTGAGAAGGAGCCTATTTCCCTCCAGTGTCTGCAGGAGGAATCTACAGAGATGAGATGGCTGGCCTGAAGCTGACTTTTGTGAGTACTCCCCACAGACACTCCAGATTTTAGAAGAGAAAGTGAGAACACATTGTTCTTCCTGGGGAAAGGGAAGAACGTGGAAGCCCTTGGTGCTTGCTAATCTGCTGGGCACAGAGTCAGGGTTGCAGTTGGCCCTTTCAGATGCTTATGTTCTTCCCTGAATTAAGTTGTGATAGCTTTATTTCTTCCATTCCAGAAAAGATGAACTAAGGGGGGATCCAAATCCGGCCCCCAAATTCCAGCAAAGAGTCTTCAAATCCCTTCTCCAATGGGTTCAGTCCCACACCCTTTGCATCCTGGAGAGCCAGCCCCAGGACGAAGCACTCCCTGTTCATCCCATGCTCACCATGTGGGTATTTTGCTGATGAAGAACAGCAGTTACACTCAGTTTTTTTTCATGCATGGCTTTTTTTGATGACATCATGAAGATTGAATTCCCATGTGCTGTGTGGGAATTAAGGCTCCTTTTGCACTTCCGATCAGAGTGAAGACTCTGGCCTGGTGTCAAAACATCCATTCCTCTTTGAAAAATGCTATGTCAGTAAGTAGCTGATTTTTGCCCCAGTGTGCTGTAAACCTCAAGGCGTGCTGAGGAATTCACGTTATTCCCACTATAAATTCAGGTATTTTAAAATATTTTTTAATGCCATTCTCTTTAAGTACTTAATACACTGGAGAGCACAGAGGTGGTGTCCCACATTTCCCCTCACCCTGGATTTGCACCAGCTTAATCCCATGGGGTGTACTTTTGACCTATGCAGCTGAGGTCAGATGTGACACATGGAATGATGTGGAAGCAGCTGTGGAGCGAAACATGAGAGCTCTTCAGCGTGGGATCCTGTACCAGGATAGCCTTTGCTGTAAAACTACTAATGAAAGCTAATCTCTGAGTTGTTTCAAGATTTTTTTTTTCCAGAGAGAAGGTGATTAAATCCAAAAGACTTCTCATTCCTTGACTCTGAAAACAGGGAAATTGCTTTATTTCTGAATTGAAACAGTCACTCCATTTAACTTTTATAAGTGCTGTCTTACAACTGCATGTAATCTTTTTTCTTCCTCCTGTAGTTTTCCTAGGTCTAGGTTTGGAGCAAGGTAAATAAAGTGAAGTATTAAAGCAAAAAGAGGGGGAAATTATGTGAAAAGTGCTTATCACTAATATTTGAAGGAGCTGTTGATATTCACGTCCTATGGTCTACTGAAGTTTGTAAAGTATGTTTTATTTTTGTAAAAATATTTCCACAGTCTACTCTGCACGAATTGTCACCAGGATTACCATTTGCCATTTGAATTGCTGGGTAGTCTTGCTGCATTGCCACAGGCCACTTACAATATTTGCATTGTTCTGTATCCATATAAAAATGAGGCTTTTAAAAGTAACCTACATACCAGTTAAACCTGGTGTATATTTACAGCTCTGATTATACAGTGTTCAAAGACGACATTCCAGGGAGGCTGTGGCTGTAACATATTAAATAGGCATAGTGCAGAGGACTTCTCGAGGTGTATCAGCAGCCACATTTTAGAGGGTTTTGAGGATTATTTAATGGAAAGTGTGTTTTACGTCATTTTTCTTGCAATTCCCCTGCCATAAGTAACTCTGCATCCCGATGCCTTGTTTGGATTTTCCCTAATGCCGAGTTGCCGAGTGTGCACAGATACAATACAATTTGGCAGCTGAGTGAGAAACAGTGCAATAGATGAGTTGAATGAAGTTTAGATGAGATATTAGGAATAAAATCTTTGCTGTGAGGGGGGTGATGCAGTGGCACAGGTTGCCCAGAGCACCTGCGGATGCCGGCAGCGCCCAAGGCCAGGCTGGACGGAGCTTGGAGCAACCTGCTGGAAGGAGTCCCTTTCTACGGCAGGGACGGGGATCCAGATGAGCTTTAAGGTCCTTCACAGCCCAAACCATCCTGCGGTTTTTTGACGCTATGGAAGCGAGGCTGCATCAGGGCACAGGCCTGGAGCAGGGGATCCCTGCGGGGGGCAGGCCGAGGGCAGCCCAGCGCTGAGGGGCGCGGGCACGCCCCGTGAGGGCGGGAGGCGGTGCCGCAGGAATGGCCGGCGCCGAGCGGGGCCGCGGCCGGGGCCGTGGCTGGGGGCGGGCATGGGCGGTGCCGGCTCCGTGATGCGGCTCGGCGTCGCCGCGCTGCCGCGGGATCGCTCCTTCCGCTGCCTCCCCGCTCGGGACGAGCGCTGGGCAGCGCCGCCGCCGCGGGCCGGGGCCATGTTGGGCGGCGGGGCCAGGGCGGCCAAGCCGTCCTTCGTGTCCTACATCAGCCCGGAGGTGCGGGGCCGGGAGGGCAGGGCCGGGCAGCCTCGGGCAGCTCGGCCGGGAGCGCGGGGCGGGGGAGCGGGGCCGGGGCCAGGGCTCCGCCGGGCGCTGCGGGGCTCAGCCTGCCCGGGCTGCCCCAGGGTGAGCGGCGTGGAGCAGAGCTGGGGAAATAGGGCTGGCTGGTCAGCGGAGTTGTTTCTGAAAACCCTGGCCAGGTGTCGGGCTGCGGCTGTTCGGCCCGTAAGGTGGGACTTTCCGAACCTGTTGTTCTTATTGTCCCTGAGCAGCATCACTTCACGTCCTGCTCGGTGAGCTCCTTGCTCGCAGTTCCGCCAATGGAAAGCCCTGGGTATCCTTCCTTAACAGCTCGGTGTTGAGTCCTTGGCAGTGTGTGTATTTCTGTGTGTATCTGTGGTATTGTTCTGCCTGTTGTCCTTTCACTTATTTGTCGAAACTTATGTTGACAGTTTGATCAAAGTGACCTTAGGCTCACTTTACTGAGGTCATTTTTTTAGTGCATGGTATTAGGTCAGTATTGTTTTTCTGTATTCCATCATTCTTATTCCTGGTAAACAGCTGTTTTCTAGGAAAAAACATTTGATGACTATGAGCCATAAGTGTTGGATTTCCCTCCTCCTAGTTCTTTGTAATACGTGTCAAACTGATTCTTCTTAATTGTTAGTTCTCTTGAGAGCTTCTTAAGGAAGAGGTTTTTGTCGATCTTGTTAATTAGTGCAGAGTTTGTCACTGATCGGACCTTGGTGAATCTGCTGGTTTTATTTTACACTAGATCTGAAAGAACAATCAGAGTTATTATAGCCAAAATCAGCTGTGGTATTTAAAACTTCTGTCCTTAGTTGGTGATAGCAAATCCGGTTTTTATATGTTTTTCAGTCCTGGTAGCTTGTAGTTTCATCAGTTGATTTTGAAAGTGTTATCTCTGTATTTCCAAGTGAAAACAGATGGAAATGATAGGTACAAGTATTTCTGGAGTCAGCAAATATACCCCTGTCTGAGGTCACTTTTTCACCTTTGGAAAGTACCTCATACAAATATACAAGGAACTTGACTTTGTGAAAGAAACAACTTCACTTGTTGGACTTACTGGAAGACATTTCACCATTGAAATGAATGTGGTGTAGGACTAAGGCTTGCTAGAAAAAATGGCTGGTTGAAAAGAGTGCAAGTAAATATATACATAGTGCAGCAAGATACCAAGTAATAGAGTACTTTAATTTGATTTTAAGTGCAGTGATGTAGTGCTTCAAATATGATCCTGATGGCTGTAGGAAGAGTAAGTAAGGTATGTAACACTGCAAGATGAGTTTCTTTATGACTATGGCTGGTTGAAAAGAGTGCAAGTAAATATATACATAGTGCAGCAAGATACCAAGTAATAGAGTACTTTAATTTGATTTTAAGTGCAGTGATGTAGTGCTTCAAATATGATCCTGATGGCTGCAGGAAGAGTAACTAAGGTACGTAACACTGGAAGATGAGTTTCTTTATGAAGAAATTAATATATTATTTTCTTTATGAAATAATATTATTTTTTAATTGAAATATTATTTTCTTTATAAAATATCCTGATTCAGTAGACATTACTGTCATTAACTCTTTACATGTTCTTGCTGCTTTTAAGCCTCTCCATATTTCACTTATATTTAAGAATTTAGGGCACTCTTGCAGCAAGAACTTTGTGTTCCTCTGCCATAGAATGGATGTCACTTTTGCACCTTCAAAGACAGAGTGAAACTGAGGTCTGGTGTGATTAGCAAGTAAAGCAAATCTGACTTTGCTGTTGACAGCTGTTGACTGCCTTAATGGTTACACAGGAAACTGAGCACTTCAGTGGCTTTTATGAGGATTAAAAATAAAATTCTAGATACATGATGAAATCTGTGAGACTGTTTTGGTGTCTAGAAAAAGCATGTTGATGAAATATCCTAAAGTAAGCAGAAGTGAGCATCTCTCAGGCCTGTGTGAACCCAAGAAAAACAACTTCCTGAACTCAGGTTTCCTGTGCAAGTTAACTTCCATGTGGTTGAGTTTTAAAAGGAACTAGACTGGTAAAACAGTGGAAATTCTAATTCCTTTTATGTGGAACATATTTGGGTCAACTGGGAGCTTTCATCAAGGCATTTTAACTTCCAGGTGCTCGGGGAAGAAGTGCTGGCAACAGGTGTGATGCTCCCTCTGGCAGGCCATGTCAGAAGGTGGAAAACAGCAGTTCAGGGACTTGATGAGCTTGAGATTTCAGCTGCGTAGAATTGGGGTTAATGGTGGCCTTCTCCATGAATTTGCAGAGCTTTGCCTTGAATCTCTGTGTACTTCCAGCTTGAGGCAAGATTCCAATTAACCACTATGCAGTACCGAGGAATAGAGTCCTGTTGGCTGTAGCCCTCCCTTGCTTGCAGCCTCCAGCTTCTGTGGTCTTGTCCTGGTTTGCTTGGGGAGCTGTTTTAAGGCCTTAAACTGCTGCTTCCAGGTTAGGGGAGCTCTGCAATAGGGAAATCAACAGGTAGAGCTGAGTTTTGGTTTAGCCCCACCTTGTTTAGACCATCTGCAGATACTTGAGGGACACAGTAGGCAATATTCTGAAAAATAAAATGAAGTCAGCTTTAAGCTGCTGTGTGTGCTAATTTGAATATGAAATGAAACAGGAAGCAAAGAGTGAAAAGAAAATGCTGTTTATTAAAGAAACAGAAGTAATTTTTGCTGTGAAATCCCAGAATGTCTGGAAAAGCAGCGTTTTTAACATCTGACTAAATATAACCTAGTTAGGCTCTGCTGTATGGAACTGCAAATCAATCAGTGGTCTGTTGAGAGTGAGACCATAGGATGTTGATATTAATGACACACTTCCCCTCAGGACAGACTTGGCTACCCTGCAGGAAGTGGGGTGAATACTAGGGTATAAAGTCAATGTTTTGACATTTCAGATCACAGACTTAGAATATGTGTCTGTGGAGACAGTGAAACAAGGACCAGTGAATTACTTCATGATTTCTAACTCTTTCAGACTTTGAGAACTTGAGTTATTTACAGGTGAAACAAGCTAGATCGTATGCTCCTAAAAATCTTAATTTGCATAAAAAATTAGATTTCAAATCTTATTTTAAGCTCAAAGTTGGTATTTTTGCATGCATTCTTAAAAGCTGAATCCCTCATTATGGGATTTTTTTTCTGTGTTAGCCTTTAAATGGTGGAAGAGGTTGTTCTGCTCCATGCTGCTTATCTCTGAAATCTGGGGTACACCACAAACTGCTGAGCGTAATTTTCATGCCTTGTGCTCTTTGTCTCTCAAATCCTGCACTGTTCTTAACTCATAAACACTGTGAAGTACTTCTTGCTTGTAAATCCTGGTACAACATTGTGATCAGTCTTAAAAATATATGTCCCTCCTTCAGAATTGGGGTGGTGGAGTTAAAGGGGGGAATAAGGAATAGGAGGAGTTGGTGGACAGCTGAGCTGACATGGGGAAAACCAGGTGTTGATGTCAGAGGAGATGGACGGGACAATGTAAGGAAAGAGGAAAGGGTAAGAGATGAAACAGTCAGGGAAAACACGTGCTATGATCTAACAGACTTCTGGATAAGGGAGCTGTGAAAGGAAGGAAAACAAGCAGTTGGAGATTATTCTCAGCAATGTTATTAAAGTGTAGTAAGTACATGCTGTGGGTTGTATGGCATACAACGTGGGATTAGACTTGTTTGACCAACAAGGAGCCCTTCAGAAAGTACCAGGTATGTAGTGTGGTTTGTTTCTGGATGCAAAGCAGATACTCGGCATTTGCACGGGTGTTTCCTCTTTTGCATGGAATTCCAGTGGAACTGTTCCACAAAAGTTTATTTTACCCAGGAGCACAGTATTCACTTGTTGGAGCACCACAACTGCTGTGTGTGCTAATTTGAATATGAAATGAAACAGGAAGCAGGTCTTTCGGTACACAGTTTGGCTTTCACAACTGATAACTTACTTAAGTATGGTAAGTATACAAATAACTTATATATTTATCTCACCCCTCTTTTTAGTGAAGTAAATATGAAAAAAACAGATGCTCATAGCAAACCTCACCAGGATGTTGATCTTCCCTGCCCAGAACTTACTTGTGGAATACTATATAAAAACATCAAAGTATCCAATGTTCTTGCAGCACTATTTGCTGCCAGTTTTGAAAACTGTCAGCTGTTTCAGACAGTACTTTTGATAGCCTGGAAGTGATCACTTGTTCCTTCATTATTTGAATCTCTCAAACATATTTTCTCAGCATGTTTAGTAAGTCTTTTACCTGAATTACCTGTAGTGCAAACGTCCAGCTATGGATCAGTGGAAGCATTACTATGGGGTAAGGTAAGGTAGGTTCAGAGTTTACAGTTTGAAGCAGCAGACTGTATGCATGGTGTCTCTGCTGGGGGTGAGCAACATCCAGGATCAGTAGGCACATATATGTGTATCTGTATGTCAGTAATGATGAAAAAAAACCCCAAACAGTTTCTCTTACCAACGTCTGGATTCTGGCATGCAGGGAATATTTTTCTGTCTTTACTTATTTCTAGTACACAGTTGTTTACCTCCCTGTAGAGTGAAAGGAATTGCTTTCAGTTCTGGTGATACTGTAGGACAAAAAGCAGAAGTCATTTGGGATTCCTTTCCTGCTCCAACCATTAAGGACCCTGTTACTAAAACGTAATTCAACCTTGTTGCCCTAAACTTGGTTGCCTCACTCATGCCTTCAGCACTTGGGGAAGACTTGTCTCCCAGACCAGCTTGAAAATACTTTAACCCCTTTAAATACATTTTTTTGGAGGAGAGCTGACTGTAGTCCCTGAGTATTGCAAACTGTGCAATTGTTCTTATATTTGGGTAAAAACAAGAAGAGAACTTTCCTTAAGGAAAGAAGTTTTTGGTTTTCTGTTATTAAGAAGAGGGATGTATTATGAATTAATTTGGTGTGACATGTCAGCTTAAAGTTTTGACATGATTTGGTACTCTCTACTGTTAAAACTGACAATTAAAGGGCATTGCCATGTTTCCTACCAAGGTTTGAGAGCCTGGAAGAAGGAATATAGCACAAGGTAAGTACACAGGTGAGAAACATCTCTTAGAAAGAAGTTTCTAAAACCTTCAGCAGAGTTGAGGTTCTTGCATCAGAAATTACAGAAACATAGTTAATTTTCCTTATTTGCATGGTGTCCTGTGGGTGACTGCTTTTAAGTGCGGCTGGTAGTAGGGTTTCCCCTGTTGTATCTTAAGTAAGAAGTGACAAAATGCTGCTTGGGGCATTCAGAACAGGGAAACTACAGATGAAAAGCTCTAGATAGAGGTTTGCATGGCTTTCAGTGGTCACAAATGGAAAGTACTTGCATGCTTAGCCTCAACAAATGGTCAGAGGGTGAGGATTTCTGAGGTCCAGATGTATTCTGTAGTTTGCAGAATTGGACAGACTTACTTCTGCTGCTTCCTTTTATTTTGTTTATGTGCTCATCTGACTTGTTGATGAGCCAGTTCTGCTAACAATAGGTACTAACAATAAAACCAAATGTAGGACAAGTGTATACTTCCCAGCTGATTTTACAAACCAAATTACCTCACCGTGTTGTCAGACAAACCCAGGGATAAAGCAGTGGGTGGGTGACTGTGAACGTGTGACTGATTAAAGGGGTGTTGAGCATAATGAATTGAAACAGGCTCTTCAGTTAATGGTAAGATCTGTGTTGCCCCGAAACTTATATTCGTTATAAAAATAAAGTTGAAACAGAGTGGAGATGGCAGCTGAATTTACATATGTGTTCCTACACAATTTGAACTGACTCATGGTGAGTTAATTTTTCTTGCAGATCTTTGCCTTCTCACTGAAAAGAGCAAATACAAAGTGTGACAGTAGTAAATTCTAATGTATTTTCATATCCTCCCTAGGAAAATGAGTGCAGCAGCATGGATTCTTCAGCAGCACTCATGGCTTGAGGTCTAGCTATCTCTATATGTTTCAAAACCACCTTTAATATATTTATGAATTTACTGTGGTAATGTAAATGTTGAATTTCAAGTAGAACTCTTCTGGAGACTTAACTCTTGGAGTCTGTTGAATGTTACAGGAATTCTGCCTATCGTAAGCACTTCAGTGTCTGTAGGCTTTTTTCAAGAAACTGAAACTGGATTTTACAAGGTGATCTCAGTGTTTGTGTTCTCTAATCTGCTGTGATGCAATTTGATTAAACTTCTAACTCTGTTCAGAAGATAACCAATTTTAACTTATAACTAAAAACTTGTAACCACTTGTTCAAGATTATTTGCTGTTGCAACCTGTTTATAAAAGCTTCATTTTAGCAAATGGGTGTAAGCTTAAAGAACTTCTTTGGGGTCAGATTTTCTTTTTTTTCATTCAGTTCAGTTCTGCCAACACTAGCATAAACTGGTACTCATGGCAATGAGTACGAGCAGTGTGTGTGCAGAACAGTAGTTATTACATTCTTTCTGGCATGTCCCAAAGTCAGAGGTGCTGGAAAAGCACCTGGCTGGCATAACTGTTTTACTGTTCTGTGGGAGTGATTGTTGACATGCAGTTTTCTGAGCAGTGTTGCATGTAGTTGGACACAAAGAGTGATTGTATAAGGCAGAGCTGTTAAAGGCACTTGTAAACCCGAAGTTTAGTTTAAAGCTACCATTGGTGAAAACACAATGCTGGGGGAGGAAAAGGTGTATATATTTCTCCTCCGAATGCAGAAGTATTCAGCTTAAGTCATAGTAGCATTTTAGCTGACTTCGTAGCTGACAAACCTGAACTTTGAGTAATATTACTTCTACAGCATCCGCACTTAGAAGACAAACGCAGCAAACCTGGGATTTGTTTTCTCTATTAGCTATCAGCTGTAGTTATGGATTTCTTTCTTCACACCACTACTACTTTCATTTTACAACATTTTTCTTTTTTCAGCCTGTCTTGAACATCTCTGCTGTTCTTGTGACGTGGTTTCCTGGTGGTTTGGTTGTGCAGCCTTCAAACTTAGTTCTTGGTCTTCTGAGTATGGAGTGCAAGTGTTTATATGAATGGCAGAGGCTGTTTATTTTTGTACTCTCAGGGGCTTTTGTTTCTCTGTATTTAATCCAGCAAAATTATTATTCCTTATATCTTCTTTTGCCTTGAATTGCAGTAGCTGACTGGATGCTGGTGACAAACTAAAATTAGCTTGCTTACTGCTGTGCCCCTGGGGGGGTTTCCAGTTAACTAATGGTTTTCCAGAAAGACTCCAAAGTGCATGCAGAGTGATTTGGGCATGGAGGAGGAAGTTCTGAACAGGCTGAGCAGGAAGGGTGTAGCATCTCCTCTAGTTTAATAGTCTTTTGGCTGGAGATTTTAGCCCAGCTGTCAGTGCCTAAAGACTAGAATAAGTGAGAGAGAAGTTAGTATGTTTGCTGTGTGCAATTTGGGTCCAGACTGAAGGATCTCTTGTCACCAGGTTTTACCTCTTAGCTCCAATATCCTGAAACACCTTTCCATATAGTCATGTTAGTGCTGTTTAAGTAACTTTTGTACTTTGGTTGAAATGTGTGTAAAAAAATCAGAAACAGGGAGTCGTGGATGAAACTTGAAAAACTGAAGGGTACGTTAGAAACAATAGCAAGTCGTACATGGAAAAGCTTATGAATTAGCTGGGAGATGGTGCTGTAATACTGAGTTTATGCTTATCCATTTAGGTGTGCTGAGAGAACTTAAAAATATTGGTAATGCTATATTTCTGTTAGTTGCACAAATAGTGCATTTTTTTGCGTTCACAAATGCATGTAACTGTCACTGTGGATGTCAAAACAATTACTTAGCAGACTTCTGACATTAAGTGGAAGGATCAAATTGCAGACATAGACTCCTTTTGTTTAGGAGGCTTTTTTCCTTAATTTTTATTTGCCAGAATGTGAGGAATTAAAGTGGGAAGGTGTAGTTGTTTACAGCAGTGTTGAAGATATGATCTTTGCAAAGTAGTAATTACTCTTTATCTCTTTAGGAAATACACATAAAGGAACCCATAGAAAAGGAAGTAAATCCTCGCTTATTACCAGGTAACTGTTGTATATTACTAGATTTAAGTAATAAAAATGAGTGATTAATGAATAATATTTAAATTTTTCCATGTCTGCAGCAAGCACTCACATGACGTCAGTGTCACAAGCAGTAAAATACAGGGTTTGGTTTAACAACCTATGCAGGTTGAAATGTTTTTAACATGTTGAAAACTTGATAAAACCAAATTTTTTACAGAGTTCAGTATCCTCAGGTAAGCTGCATGTGGAGAACTGTTAATACTTAACTTTGCCCTGTTTCTTAGAAGTTGAAGTTGGGTGGGTTTTGTTTGTTTGGAACTGAAGACAAGAACTGGAGGAAATTTACCTTCTTGTGGCTTTGCCTCTACCTGGGCCTTCCAATGTTTCATTTAATGTTAACCTTTTCTTTTGTAATTTACAGTTACTTCTTGTTTAAAAATATTTTCTAAGATAAGCAAAAACAAAATACATGTAAAAGTTTACAATAAACTAATTCTTCTGTTGGATTTCCTGTACTTTATAGGAAAGACCAAGAGTCTGTCTGATCACGTGTATTAAAACTTTACTTTCTTAAATTTGAAGTTCAGTTCCTGTGAATTTTAACACAAGAACTTAATTGACTATTATTTATGCAAACTTGAACTTGAGACTTCCAAAATAGCCTTGGGACCTGTAAAATAGTCAAAGCTATGAAAAAATAACTACAATGAACCTGAAATAAGAAATTAAAATGTGTCAGCATTCTTAAAGTTTAACAATAAGGAAGATTGGAATAATTTTCAACTTGTTTACTGACTATATAAACTGCTCTTGCTGCGTTTTTTTTTTTTTCAATTACATACTTGAATGATTACTATTCTACTGCCATTTGGAGTAGGCCATGACACAGGTGCCTGTGGTTACAGAACTCCCAAACATCTGCAGTTCAGGGTTTCTGGAATAATGTTAGTAACCTGGAAGATTAAGATAACAACTAAGATTATAGCTGATTCCAGGAGCTGCCTTGTAGTGCCTTTGTGTAACAGTGATGAGCTATCTTTAAGCGTAAAGTTCTGAGAAACTGTCAGGAAGTTACTGCTGCAATTGAGATTTAACAATTGAAATAATTTAATTGTAAATGTCAGTTAATATTGCAAGTTATTGTTTCTTCTCCACAGGTGAACTGCTGCTTTGTGAAGCCAGCACAGTGTACAAGTATGTGCAAGAAGATGGGTCAAATCGTGGCACTTATGGGAAACTCGTGTGCACAAACTTTAAGATTTCTTTTCTTGATGATGATTCTGCTTCAGATGATAATGTAAGAAAACAAATCTTCTAATTATGACTGAACAGGCTCTGCATAAATAATCATATCTTTCCCTTATATAAAGATGCAGAATGAACATAAATGTATAAAATTTGCTAATGGGTGCAGAATAATGTGAATCAGTCTGCATCTGCTTGATCCTTTCTCAATCTCTAATGATTATTTTAAGCAGAGGCAGTGTCAGCATTTATGTGGACACTTAGATTAGATGTAGTTTATAACTCTTTATATTTTGTGAGTTGGTGAAGCTTAAGTTAAAAGAACCCATTGTTTTGAAAACTAATCAACAATTTGTTTAAAGTTGATTCTGACTCTTTGTCTTGGTAACATTTGTGGAAGTGTGAATGTCTCTGATGGTGGAAAACATCTGCCTGATTTGACTTTGGGCTACATCTGCAGAATCATTTCAGGCTGTACAAGACTGAGTAAGCTAATACTCAGCAGAAATGCTCTGAAAATTTATGTGGCTCAGTAAAACTCTGAATTATTTCATTCAAAGTCCAATGTTTACTGAAAAGATTTTAAAACCTAGTGCTGTTAAGCTTGCAAACACTGGAAAATGCTAAAAACTCCCCAAATCTTCAAAATTATTTCAATACTTTTTCCTTTGGTTTAGGTGCTCAAATTGAGCTGTCAGAGGAGAATGGTAATGCCACAGTGCTTTTGATAAGCTTAACATTGAAATAGTTTAGTCTATTTAGGTGTTAGAAGTGAAAAGAGAGTCTAGTGGCTCCCACATTCAAGGTGATCTTGACAGTTAAGGACAATGAGAATAATATGATTTGACATGTGTTGATTATAGTCAGAAGTTACTTGGGGTTAAATTTCACAAAGTTTAAACTGAGGCTTCTGCAGCCAAGTACAGATTATTGTACCATCTGGAATTAATTAAGACAAAGCTGCAGAATCTTTTGACGTAAATCTCAAGTGATCTGTGGAAAGTTGGTAATGACCTTGCTAATTTCTGTTCCATTGCTGGCTTTGAACCTTGGGTTTATAACATGCCAGGTCAACTCTATTTCTGTTAACAAAAGCTCAGGATTAGCTACCTTCTTCAGAGTGCTGTAGATGTGGAAGCATCTCAAATAAGGCTAACTTTGTTCACAATAAAATATAATTTGCTGATGTAGTGTAAGTCAGCTGTTTGGTAACAATATTGAAAATAATGGTGTTTAATTGTGGCACCACTAAAATGCCGTTTTTATGTGTACTAATGGAAAGGTAGAAGTGAAGGGAACACCAAATCACTTCAAGTTTGGTTACACAGTAGATAAGGTAGTTGAGTTGTGTGTGTGTCTTCACTTTACCCGGTCATAAATCTGATTTTAATGTTACTGTGTCCTTGGGATACTTGTTCTTTTAAGAGACTTTGTATTTCCTGCCAGGTTCCCATAGCAAGGAAACTTGTCATAAAAGGGTTTGGATTACATGAAGCTACTGTATTTCCTGTTTACTGCAGTGATTCTAGTTTGAAAATTGACTCTCAGTAGAAATGTATGCTTTGAAGCTATTTGAAAAGTAAAAACTGTATCTACATTTCAAGCGTGGTTGAGACTTAAATAAAGCTATATATATTGTGTGTAACTTGCATCTGTCTGCATTTTAATAACTGTTCTTCAGTGTCCTGCCTTACACAGCTTCTTAGAATAAGAAGTAATGCTGATAGTAAAACAGTGCATGGAAAGCATTTACTTGGCAGAACGTGGTACTGTAGTGTGACATTTCTATGATATTTTCACGTTTCTAGGAGCCACAATTTAAGAATAAGATTGTAGGAGAAAATGACATAACTCTGCAATGTGTAGATCAAATATATGGAGGTAAGTCAGCTTTTTACCCCTGGGGGACTTAGACTGCTGGTGCTCCTTGTACAAATACATCCCTTTTAGAAAACCAGTACATATTTAAAAAGCAGCTGCAGTTATACTTAATGATGAAATGACAGATAAAAAATTTATCAGAACCCAGTCTTATCCCTCAAGCTTGTCAAATTAATTTTAATTTATTTGATTAATTGTCCACTGGAACTGACAGAATGATTCCTTCAAAATGCAGTGGTTCAAAGCAGAGAGTATACTATCAAAAGTCCCTAAATTTGTAGACAAAGATCTTCCAATGTATCAACTATTTCTGTAAATATAGATATATTCGCTTCATTTTAGCAATAGCAGTACAGGTACCAAATTCTCAAAGAATTTTTTTTTTGTCTAAGGGGACTTTGCTTTATGAGATACATGGTATCTTCACCATATTAAAGGGGATAGAAATGGAAGTTTTAATTGACAACTAAATCTAGTTCTTTGCATGGGGGCTTAGAGGTGTTCCAGTATTGCTAAAAAAGATAACTGAGAATGGGGCAGATCATTTTAAGTATGGGAAGGCTTTACTGAGAATCCTGTTCTTGCACTAATTATGAGTATTAAGTGTGTTTATAAATGGTGGTGTGGATTTGTGAAGGAGTGAGCTGGGGCAGACCAGTGGAGATGGTTATGAGTCACTTTAGTTTTATGTACAGTGGCCGAGCTGGCAGCGCTTGAAGTTGTGAAATGGTACATCCTCAAAGAGAAATGAGCAGAGGTTTGCCTTGGAGGCTTCCTGGTGGTTAAAAAAAATAATTTAAGGAACTTAGAATGATCTCAGATGTCTGGGGACTTCCCCTTGGGTAAAACTACTTGTTCTTTATGTATCTTGAAACTTTAAACTTGGTGTGCAGTCAGAATGTGAATAGATACAACCCCTGAGCAGCTGGTTTGCTGCAAATTTGCCTTTTACCTTGTATGAAGTAATTTGATGGGTTTTAAAAGAAAAGGTTGAGGCTTACCAGCCTAAGTTGTAGGATGCCTGTTTTGTCTTGAGAAAACTTGGGCTTGAATTAGTTTCTTGAGAATTCTGGAAAGTCAGTCAGGGACAACTTTATTAAGATTACAAATACCTTTTTGATATTTACTTTCCTTTTTAATTTTGCAGTTTATGATGAGAAAAAGAAACTTCTAACAGGACAGTTAAGAAAATACCCAGATAAGTTAATTATCTACTGTAAAGACCTTAGAGTATTTAACTTCTGCCTGAGATACACAAAAGAAGAGGAAGTGAAAAGAGTACGTATAGTAACTTAATTTGCTTTTCTATTTTTAGCATGGTGTTGGGTGTTGTGAGGATGAGGGAAGGATGAAATTCACCTGAAACTTGGAAGTATTTTCTGATCATTTCCAGCTAAGATAGAAAGTAAAAGATTGATTTTATTAAACATTTCATTGTGCATAACAGTTAAAGGACAGGTGCAGTGGCTCTTTAAAGAAAACTGGAATTTGGGAGTGCTACAGGAAATTAGCTCCAGCTCAGACAAGCTGTAAAGCTGTTCTGTTTGTGACATGTAGTTTCATTTTATTTTAGAATTCAATATAGTGTTACTTTCCTGATAAAATCAATTTTTTTGAGAAGTTAGTCTCTACTCCAAACTAAGAGTAAACTAATTTTATTTAAATAAGAGTAATTCTGGAGGTTGAACACATATAATACTACTTAGACCAAGTAGGTACAGTGTCTTGCAGAAAACAGAGTAACCTTCCTAAAAATCAGGTTTCAGCTGTTGGGGATAGAACCCATCAGTTTTGTTAAAAACCTGGATGGAGGGGTTGGTAAAAAAAAAAAACCCAAAGATTTTTTTACACTGACAGCCTTGGTGTGTGTTTGGGTGTTAATTTTTGGTCCTTTTTTAGATCGTCAGTGGTATAGTTCATCATAGCCAGACTCCTAAGCTGCTTAAACGTTTGTTTCTCTTCTCTTATGCATCAGCTGCTCCAGACAACACAGGTAAATGGTTTTTTTTTGATCTGTTTATTGCATAGTTAGTTTGTTAAACAGACTGGGAGGTCTATAGTAGAGTTCGTGCTCAGCTTATGGCTCTGTCCTGCTGGCAGGTAGCTTTAAAAGATTAATTTTTCTTTTGTTGTACATTGTTAAGCCTGTTGCTGAAAACCTCTAAATTGTCTTCTCTTGGTTTTGGTATCCTTCAGGAAGTTGCATAGAAATTTTCTGAGCAGAAGTAGTGTCCCTAGATTGAAAACTTATTCTGATTAACATGCACAAATGCTTTTCACGTGGTTCATCTAGAAAGTCCTTTGCTTCTTGTAGCAGTGTGGTTTTTCTGTATTGCTGCTGTGAACCAGGCTTCTTGCGCTTAATTCTGAAATTACTGCATTTGCAGTGGCATCCTCTGAGAAAGTATTTCCCCTTTTGCTCTTATTTGCAAGCAATATGCTTCTTCCAGGCAATTGCAAAAAAAGCATAGGTTTGCAAGGCATCTGACTTCCTCTTGTATCTGACTTATTACATAATCTTCCCACTTGATCAAACTTGGCTGAATAATACATTAGACTGCAAAATTCAGGACGAAAAGTTGTCAGTGTGCTTTCTAGCATTCTGTAATTCAGACTTTAGCTGAAATAATAATGCTGTTTTGAATTAGGAACCTGACTCTTAGTGCACCAGCAACACCAATTCCCTTCACAGAGGGAGGTTTTGATGTATGCAAGGTATTAATCAAACACCAAAAATATGTCAAGGAATTTCAGTATCATTGAGGTTAGAAGAAACCTCTGGAGATTATCTAGTCATGTTCTTGTCCATATGCCCCTCTTCAGAGTAGGGTTAACTGCATCAAGTTTAGTCATGTCCAGTTGGATTTCAAATATCTCCAAGTATTGAGGCTCCACAGCCTTTCTGGAGAGTCAGTTTCATTGTTTGACCCTCCTTGTAGTGAAGAAGATTCTGTTATGTGTATGTGGGATTTGCTGTAGTTCAGCTTGTGCATAACTGCCTCTTGTCAAGTCACTGAGTCTGGATCCATCTTCTGTACTCTCCTCCCCTGTTCCACCCCCAGGGAGATTGAGCCCTGTTTTCTGAGTGATCCCAGCTCTGTCTCTCCTTGTATCAGGTGTTTTTGAGCCCTTTAATGGTCACAGAGGGCCTTCACTGGACCTGGTCTGGAGCCTTCAGAGGGGAGCCCAGCACTGGGCACAGCCCTCCAGCTGACAGCAGTGGTGGCTTCATTCAGCTGGTACACAGTGGCCTTGCTGATTGCAGCCCAGGAGCACACTGTCTGTTTGCTCCAAGGAAGGGCTGGCTCAGGTAGTTCCTGCAGGCTTCACCTGAAACTGGTGTTCTGTTTCAGCTACAAACAATGGAAAGGCTGCAAGCTTTTCCAGGCAGAGACAGAGCCTGGGAGAAGCCTACTCTTCAAAGCAACACCGACGTGCTGTCCTGCAATTATTTCCTATTTTAATAGCTGTGTTCTGTAGTAAGTGGCTTGGTGTCATTCTTCATGAAATTAGTACAGGATAAGACAAATAGACTGTGTAAATTGTTTTTTTATGCCTCTCACAGTCTGATACCTCTAAAATCCTGTCTCCAAGAGCTCATCAATAATGTTCTGTTCCGAGCTGTAAATTTTTCATCTGCCTTATCTTCTTACAGTGAAAAGTTTCAAGTTGCCATTGTATCTTCCATTCTTCCATGGAAATTATAGCTCTTTTTGCTATTTCAGGGTTAGCTGATATTGTAGAATGTTACTCAGTTAGGATGTGTGCTTAAAACAATTGACGTTACTCCATAAATTATATGGTATTATACAAGATTTGAGGCTAAATCAAGCTGCTGTCTTAACTTTCTGAGGTGGCTAAGTAGAATTACAGGAAGAGTCTAAGTTGAAAGTATTGAGACTGAATTGCTATAATTAATTTTCTGCTCTTACTGAGTGTCTGAGATGTTCTATTCAATGCAAAACTATTCATGAAAAAAAAAAAGAACCTTAAATGAAATGCAATATCTGAAATTTTTGTAGAAAGGTTTTTGGTATGATTGTTAATTCTGCACTTAAACTACAGGATTAGAAACCTACCAGTCAGCTACATTAGTATAAAATTATATTTGCTGCATTTTAGGCTGGATGTGAGGACAGCCCCAGCTGAATGGAAGTTCTGTAACAAATTATTAGTTTCTGCAGGAGAAACTGTTCCTGAAGTTGTTAGTAACAGCTGTATCTGATAGAATATTGCTGTTGTTAAAGATCAGACAGAGGCAATGTGGTGTACAAAGGCATTTTATCTTTGACTTGAGACTTTTGGTACACAAGAGGTTCTGCTTGCTTACCTTAATGGCAACTAACGGGTTTACTTAGCATTGCTTTGGTGTTAGAGTTCCTGACAGTCTGCAAAGTTAGTTTTATTGATGTCTGACAGATGGGAGAAACCAAACTGTGATGTTTGAGACCCTGGAGGACTGGCGTGATGAGTTGGAGCGGACCAAAGGGAATGTGAAATACAAAGCAGTGACAACCAACGAAGGCTACAGAGTCTCTGAAAAGTAAGATTCCCCTGGTTAATAGTGAATTTTGGATGTGTGAAAATCAGTGCTACCTTTGATGCTGGGGATTATACAGGTTTTTGGGAGTCTTTTTAGGATACGGTTTCCATTTTTATTTATGGAATAGTTTGGTTTGTCATCTCAGAAGGTGATCCTACACAACCCCTGATTCAAGCAGGGTTAACTTCAGTATTAGGTACAGACTACTCGGAACCTTGGTTAAATCAAGCTTTGAGTATATCTAGGAGTGGAGAATAGAAAATATGTCTGGGACCTACACTTCTGTCATACTGGTTAGGATGACACTTTCTCAGTCCTGTACCTTTACTGTGGTAAAATTTCAAAATACATGCACTGGAGATTTTCCACTGTTTTTGTTGGGAGGGAGCTGGGTGGGGAAAAAGTAACTGGTTTAAAGTAAATCTGTAAAAAGTGCTGGTGGAAGTTAAGTTGTGTTGCCTTTAGGAGAAGGTTGGCTAAGTTTAGCTGAGCTTGGCCACCATTTTAGCTGAGGAGCATTTACTGGTGAGCCCTTTAGGATGTATACAAGGCATTGTATACTTCTTATTTCATAGCAAATATTGGAAGATCTCACAGGCCTTGGAAACTAGTATTTCAGAGTCTTAACTATTTATTCTGGAACTCTCTCTTGGGAGACCCAAACTGAGTTTAAGTACTTACCTTTGTTGCTTCTCTGGACCTTGAACATCAATAGAGTTGGTTGATGCTGGAAATCCTTGATAAAATAAATTGTGTTCTTGAATTAGGATGTGAACTGCTCAACAGGCATGGAAAGAGAACGAGTCATTTAGTAGAGCAAGGGTATCTTTTGAACCAAGGTGGTCTTAGCAATCAGTCTTAGAGGTTACAATTAACTGCCCCTCTGCAAAGGCAGGGAAGTGTTGCAGTGGAAATAGTTGACCTCAAGGTTGGGAAAAAAGCATTATTCATCTGAAAATAAAGAGACAGCTTTGAGCACAATAGAATTATCTAGGAGGAAAGATTATTGTAGCAAGGTAAATATATAATCAGTATTTCAGCTAGAACACTCACTGTCGTTAAAAGGAACTTAGAGATTGTTCTTTGTTCAGTTTTTGAACCAAAAATTTGTTCTCTGTTGTCTTAGGCTGCCTTTGTATTTTGTTGTTCCCATATGCATTTCTGAAGAGAGTATCTTGAAGTATGAAGGCAGAGGCATTCCTGTAAGTATATGTGCATGGCTAAGGGTAAGACTTTTACTGAGATGGCAGAATTTCAATTAACATCGCAGATGTTGCTGCATATTGTTTTCAGAGCTTTTTTTTAACAGTTTACATGTATACCTGGTCATCTACAGAAGGGAAACAGATGTTGGAAGGAGAAGTGCTTGATACATTTTGTATTTCATTGAACGGTGTAATGTGTAGCAAGACATATATATAACATATACATAACAGCAAAATATGTATTTGCTGTTCACAGCCCCCACTTGCTAATGTCTTGTAGCCTACACATATTACTAGCCTGTCTGTCCATCAGCCTGTTTTCCATGAGACTGTGCTGAGTGGCATCTGGCTGGGGCAAGATTCAGGCCTTGAAATGCTATTTGGATATTGAGGTGAAGATGATACATGTAAGGTGTAGCTGAACACCTCCAGTTACCTGGCTTGAGTTCTGGTAAGTGCTATGACTGTGATGATGCAGCGTTTTTACAAAGTCAGGTACCCCAACTGAAAAACTAGTTCTGCAAGTCCAACAGAAAATGAAGTTAAATATACTGGTTTGCAGCCTGTAGCAAGCTGGGTTTGGCTTCCTGCCTTGTAGTTCAAGAACCAGTAAGACGGAGAAGATGGAAACAAGGAGCAAAGTAATCTCGCTTGTGAGGTCTTACATTAGTGTAAGTGTGTCCATTAAATTTGCCAAGGAAAACCATGTTAATTTTATGCTCTTAAGTTAATTGGTTCATGGAGGAGATAGTACTGTACTGCCCTGCCTAAAAGTCAAAGTAGTGTGGTTGACTTTTTGTCGGAGAGTCAGAGACCTATTACACTGGCTCTTACACAGAAACAGAAGTGTTTGGGATTTTTTCGTTCCATCTTGCATTCACAGAACTGTAGAATAGTTTAGACCTTTAAACAGGATCTAGTCTAATCCCCTTCTGGAATGACCCAAAGCATCTTCTCCTAGATCAGGTTGTGCAGAGCCCTGTCCAACCTGGCCTTGAATGTTTCTGGGACTTCTACCACCTTCATGGGCATCCTGTTCCATCCAGTATTCCAGCACCCTCCTTGTAAAAACTTTATTCCATATATGTAGTTCTAAATCTACCCTCTTAGTTTCAAACCATTACCCCTTGTCCCTTGACCTACTAAAAAGTCTTTCCCCATCTTTCTTGTTAGCCCCCTTTAAGCAATGAAATGCCACCAAAAGATCTCCCCAAAGCTTTCTCCAGGCTGAGCAAGCCCAACTCTTCAGTGTATCCTCACAGGAGGGGTTCTCCAGCCCTGTGACTATGGTGTTCCTGTGGACCTCTCCTTGAGCTTGTCTCAGTCCCACAGATGGCATCCTGTCAAACCACCTCAGCTTGGTGTCGTCTGGAAATTGCTGAGAGCATCTCACTGACTGTGTCTTTGATAAAGGTATTAAATAGTCCTGGCTCTAGTACAGACCCCTGAGGGACACCACTCATCACTAATCTCCATCTGGACATTGGGAAGTTGACCACTACTCTCTGGGTGGGACCATTCAACCAATTCCTCATCTCTGAACAGTCCATGCATCAAATCTCTCCAATTTTGAGAGAAGGATGATGTGTGTAACCATGTTAAAGGCTTTACAGATGTCCAAATAGATGACAACATCTGTAGCTGCCCACTGTTCCAAAGCCTTGTAGAACTCTTCTGATTATTTCCAAACTGTTTCTGTGAAGCTAGTGTCAAGATAGCTGGGCCATATTGAATTGGTTTTGGAAGGCAATGGAAGGACAGTATAGTAATTTTTTCCACTCTTGATGATTGTGAGGTTTCTGTATCCTTCTGAGGTGCACCTCTTGGTTACTGTGAATTGGTAGCAGAGCTTCTACTTCCTGATTTCATTTGTGTAATATGCCTGATGAAAATTATTCTTACTCCCTCTTTCAATGCAAGTTTACAGATCATCTTGACAACTTCAAGGAGTAAGAAGTATGAATGAGGAAATTCTGTGTAAAGGGAAATAAGAAGCTTTGAGGACTGATTTGGCACAAGAAAAACCTGTGACTATGCAATCTGATTTAGCTGTGGAGTGTTTAATACTTTATTTCATATGCCTAGATTACTCTTTGTGCACAGTTCACATGGAAAAATATCGTTGCATCTATTGTGAGTTATCTGAAGGCTGAACTATTAGAAAAATCTGATAATGGAGAAACTGATGAATAATATATATATGTTACTTACCAGTTCAGTCTTGCTGTGGCATATATTCTAACATAATTTGACCATAGACTTTTTGATAATTTTTTTTTTTTTTACCTGTGAGGGAAGTTGAGAAAGTAATATTTTGGCATAATCTGTCATTTTGTATTTCCCTGTGCCTATGTAAATTCTAACTTAAAACTTGCAAGTGGTAACATAGTGTACTCAGGCATGTATTTTTGGTGCAGGTGTAGGAGTTTGCTTCTGTTGATGTTTGCTTCTATTAAATACACTAAAAATTCAATGAAGCAAAAGCAGAGAGAAAATTTGAAATCACTCAATCACTTGAGCAAATACATGGTATAGGACAATTTACTAGTTTTTCTCACCTGGTAAATGTCTTTCTGCAGATTTGGTGTTGGTCTTGCCATAACGGCGCTGCTCTTCTCAAAATGTCCTCATTTCCCAAAGAACAGGATGACAGCACTTCACAAATGCAAAAAGCCTTCTTGGATGGGTCAGTAATAGCTATTCTGTCCACAACACTTTGCTTGGTATGGACCTTGCTTCTCTTTTTCCATATATGCTATATCTTTTACGCTTTCACACATCAGGAAACAAGTTCTGTATATGAAAGTAGTAGTGGAATGTTGCTGTAGTGGAATGTGTTTAAACCCTTGACCCAGTGGCATTGGTCACTTGTGCAGGGTTGGAACTTCACCCAAGGCTTTTTTATGTGAAGCTGCATACACATCTGTTTCTGAGGAATATGTACTTACTATGGTGTGTTTTGTAGGTGAAGCAGCAGTAAAGCCTGTAGGGTTAATGGCTTAATTGCTTTGCAAATAAGAGAAATGTAGGCTCCATCTCTAAATATACATTTGAAAACTGAGTTTTTGACAGTCTGCCACTTTCTGAGAGATAGGTTCATATTCTTAAGTAACTTGAGATAAGGTGTCCTTAAATGTCTGAGGCAGGCTGAGTGATTCACTACTGCAGCTTTCAGATGTGAAGGCAAACAGCACTTTTTCAGATGGGATAGTGAACTGAATTAGTTCAGCAGTTTGAAAAACCACAAGTTTAACTTAAGCGGAGGAGCACAGCTGTCTGACTGTCATGGCAAAGACTTTTTTGTCCTTTAATTTTGGCACTTTTTTTAAACTGCTGTTTGTCCTAGACAGAACTTCTCTCTCAGCAGCCACCTATTAGATCAGACTCATATGTACAAGCTGTACATTGAACATTGGCTCCTTGCTCCTCATAGATGGAGACCTGTTAATCACACAGAAACAACAGAAAACAGCTTGACTGGGCTCTTAAAACTGCTTTTGTTTATAAAATTAATTATACTTGCATAGGAAAGAGTTGTGGCCCTTCCTGCAGGTTCTCTAATATTTTTACCCTGAAATGGGAAAGATTATATGACTTAGAGCTGTCTTTAATGCTCTTTCATTATGTGAAAGTAAATAAAACTAGCAGTAAGCTGTAACAAGGTATCCTCTGCTATACTGATCCCTTCTCTGTGGCCATTTCAACTGGGGGCAGTATTGCTGGTTTTCTTTGCTGTGCAGTACTCGTGTTTAATCACTGGAGTCTGAAATATATCTACAAATTGGCCATCAGGGTGTGTTCAAGTGCCATTATAGTAATAGTCTGAACTCAGGCACAGAGCAGATGTTTACAATTAGCAGTCTATCTTTTAAAAAAAGCTGTTCAGAGCCTGATCTTGCAGTGTAAGTTCTTTGCTGTCATTTAGAAGAAGTACTGTATTTGGCCAGCAATTGCTCTCCCTCACTTCTCTGATCTGATGCATCTTCCAGTAGGTCTGGTAACCCATGTTTATGATGTGGACTCCTGTAGTTCTCACCTAAAGCAGGTTTCTGTGCTACAGCCTGCAGGAAGCAAAGCACTCTGCCCTGCCTGGAAAACTGCCCACAAGACCTCACTTTTGAAGTATGGGCTAGAGCAACTTTTCGCAGGTGTTGGTAATAAAGAGTCCAGTGTGACAGCAGAGGTAGTTACTACATTGATGTTCATCTGAACTCTGGAACCTGAATGAGTGGGAATGCTCATCTGGCCTAGTTTTTTTCCTCTCCTTCAAGAGAAAAAAATCTGTAGATATATAGGGAAGTACAAGATACATTGTCTTGTTTGAATCCAAATAATTTCCTTTACTTGTGTGTTTCATTAGAAGACCTAACAGCTAGATATCAGAATCTGTTTGGCAAAAGTCAACTTCTGCTGGGAGTTTTGGGTGTTTCTATCTATCTCTTCTTTCAGAATACAGCTCTAGCAGCCTTCTAGTAAAGTGATTTTGGTGTGTCTAATGAAGAAAATTCTAAAGAAACAGCAGTAAAAATCAAGTAGTGCTTCTAATATTCATAGCTGCATAAATAGGCACGAGTATAATTTTATTGGTGCCATAGTTAAAAGCATCAAATCTTGTTATAAGCCTGTGTATAAACAGTACTTAGAAATGCATGGAGGTCACTAGCTTTCCAGAGTGTCTATCTTCTGGTATTACAGCTCTCTGACAAATCATGCCTATTAACTTTGTCTTCGGATAATAGTTGATGCATTATTTGACTTGTGAAGCAGAAGGCTTTAATCTCTTGATGGTTTGATTTAGAATCTATAAGACAATTAGCAAACCTCCCTATGAGCTCCTGAAGATGGATGACTTGTCAAGCAGCCTTCCATCTCTGCAAGATATCCAGACTGCATACACAAGATTTAAACAGCTGTTTTTGATAGGTAAGTCAGACTTTAAAGCAAAGCATAACAGTGATGTGCTGTGACTCCTGAGTGCAGTAATTTTCTTGATTGGTGTCTTGATTTTGAGGGTGGGTAAAAACAGATTTTAAAATACGTAACTGAAGACTATGCTTATGTCTAGGATGTGAATGAAGGTTTGTAGTTCTTTGACTTAACCACCTCTTGTTAAGCTGTCAAAGTATCTGAAAATTACTTTTCAAGGAGTGGAGTCTCAAGTGTTGGTTGGGTTACACTAACTGGAATGAAGTTTGTGGGGAAGATTTTCAGTCTTCTGTGGCCAAACTTTTAGCCTTTGGGCTCTGTCTGGAGTAGAGGATGCTAATTAATTTTTGCCCGTGGTTTTGTTCCACACTAGTCACTTCTCAAAACATATGAAGCTGCTTAAATTCTGTCCTTTAGAAAGCAATCATATGGGAGCCATGTAAAAGTGTGATCTAGGCTTTCAGACTTCTCTTCTGAGACTTTCTAACTATTTTGCAGTCATGAAACACTTTGACCTCACCTCTTTAGACGAAAAAAGTTCCACTCCACTTCTAATATGAGGTATTTGAGTTTCACACTGAAGATTGTATCTAGAATACACTGTAAAATCAACAGTGAATCTTAAGAGCTAAAAACAATTACCTTTTCATGTGATTTCTAGTAACTTACCCTGTGTAGGAAAAAAGCCTAAGCTTGAATTGAAGTCATTTAACCTCTGTCATGAAATGCTGTGTATTTCAATGATGTAATTGTATCATTGTCTTAGGTTCATGCAAACGGGAATGTGTTGAAACTGCCATCTAGTAAGCATTTGTTATTGCAGTTTTTGAAATAAAGTTGGTTAGTACCTCACTGAGTATAGCACTGTGCAATTTCAGTCTGAGAAAAACATTCAGGTAATCTTTTGCAGAAGTACTTTACAGAAGTCTGAACACATTAACCATTACTTTAGTCCTGTACGTGCCTAGTCCTGTACTAGTTAATATGGTATAGGCAACTTGTCCTGGCTGTGGCACTGCCAGCCCAGAGAGCCAAACGTGTCCTGGGCTGCATCCAGAGCCCCGTGGGCAGCAGGGCAGGGAGGGGATTCTGCCCCTCTGCTCTGCTCTGCTGACACCCACCTGGAGCACTGCATCCAGAGCTGGGCTCCAGCACAGGAGGGACAGGGACCTGCTGCAGTGAGCCCAGAGGAGGGCACCAAGATGATCAAAGGGATGGAGCACCTTGGCTGTGAGGAAAGGCTGATGGAATTAGGATTTTTCAGCGTAGGGAAGAGAAGGCTCCAGGGAGACTTTAGGAAACTTTCCAGTGCCTAGAGGGGCTGTGAGAGAACTAGAGAGGGACTTTAGATGAGACCATGAAATGACAGGACAGGGGAAAGTGGGCAGCTTTAGATCAGGTATTAGGAAAAAATGCTTTACTGTGAGAGTGGTGGGATTTGGTGAAAACTATGTCTAATGGGACAGAGCTTTGAAGATGCATTCTAATACTTTTGTAGAGAACTAGTTTCTATGGCCAAGGTGAAAGAAATTGGGAGAGGAATTTAAATTGCATAATGAACAGGATGAGGTACAGAGGCATGGAGGCAGCACAGCTAGAGGAATAAAACTCATCTATGCCTGTGCCTTTGAGGCATAGGTGCAAGATGCAGCAGAGACAGAAGTGTGTGAATGTGCTGGAATTGAACACTGGAAGTGTTTGGAGAGACTCTGGGAGGTGGGAAGTTACACAGAAACATGTGGAACTGAAGCTGTCGTGGAAAGGATGGGGGAGGAGGGAATTTCGTGTATCTGGTTTCTCACTAGTAGACCCTTGTAGGCCTTGTGCTTCAAGGTTTGTCTCATGCAGGAAATGTAATCTATTCTGGTTTTAATTGACTATATCCCATTGTGAAAGCTTTCCAATATTTGTTGTCTGGCTTTGATAGAAATAGAAGCAATGGACGCTTAGGTGGCATATGAAAAAACGTACAAAAGAAATCCTAGTGAAATTCATAGGCGTCCAGTGGCTTAGTGGTATTGAACTTGGCCTCCCTGTTTATATATTTTAATGTCTTTTTTTAGTTGCAGCAAAAACTGTTTAAAACATTTTTCAGGCAGTCTTACATGCTATAAATTTTTATAACCTATGTCTAAAACCCATTGATGTCTGTGGCTCTGTTGGTAATGATTTTCAAAATCCAGCATCTTTAGGTTAAGCTTTATGTAGATCATCATCTCTGATTAAATATTTTTATTCCTTTTCCATTTTGTCCTTTTGTCAACAGACTTATTTACCTGGTTTGAGTGCCATGAACCTTCAACTTTTTCTAAAAGGCTGTGGTGCTATACAACTCTGCTGGTGTTTGTAGGACTACTTCATTTCCTTATGTAGTTATAAGGTGTCAGCTTTAACAGTGATTGAGATTAGCTGACTCCTTAGTATTGGTTGTTTTGTACCTGTTCATAGCTGAAGGGTAATGCAATGGATGGCTCTTAATTATCATTGTGTTATGTGAACAAACCAATTTTTGTTTTTCTCTTCTTTTTGCAGATAACAGTACAGACTTCTGGGCAACTGATGTGAAATGGTTTTCATTACTGGAGAGCACAAACTGGCTAGAAATAATCAGGTTTGCTTTATCTTCAGCTTTCTGTGTTTCAAATTGTTGGTAATTGCATTTGTAGTGCGTTTTCTAGCTAGTTTCTTGAAACAGAATTTTTTACTGCCAGTAGGAAAAAAAAAGTAAGGCAGGCTTATGGTCCCATTTATATACCTTTTTTCTGAAACTTGAGTCAGTGTTGTTAACAGTGCAGACTTGTGTTAAGCCTTCCACTTTAAAGGATATGAGAAGTAGCAAATCATTCAAATTACAATTCTTCCAGAGTGCCAGTTAAAAATACAGATCCAGTAATTTCCATCCTGCACTGTCACCTTCTTTCCAAACTCAAGAATCCTGTTTGTTTCTTGTGTGAAACTATTCTATGTCTTTGACTGGCCTTGCCATCCTTATTTGTACTTTCTGCTTCTGTAATGTCCTTTAGAATGAGATGAAGTGCAGTGTTCAAGATGTTAGTCCACTAAAGAGTTGTAAAAGGACATTTCTTCTCAGTTTTGTCCCCCTGCTGTGCTGATTGTTCCCTAGGTTCTCTTTTCTTCTCTCAGCAGTCCACAGTGAGTAAGTGTTGGAATGGCTTTGGCTAACTTAAGGCTTGTTGTAGTGGAATGTTGAGGAGTTTTGTTTTCAGTGTTACTTTGTGCTAGCTCTTTTGTCTGTCTGTTTATTCTGTAATCAGCTAATTGCCATGGGGTGCTTCTGCAGTGAGCTCCAGTCCCTTCTGGTCTTAATAACAATCAATAAATATTGATAGTTATTAGCTCATTAATTCAGAATTTAAATGTGTGTGTTTATTGAAAGGTTCTAGTGAAGACCATGTATGTGTTGAGAAATTCATAGACATAACAGAGATCACAGGTAGGTTAAAGTAAATGCCAGGCTGGGCTCCTATCTTTAGATTGTTTTGAGACTGGTCATTTCCATACTTGGATCCATTTGGTTCTTGGATCAGCCTGTTCTTGGCTCTTGTAGTTATTAGGAATGCCTTGTCACATGTTCTAAATGGTAGAACAAAGAAGAATCTGATAACTCCACACTTAAGAAACAAACTGTCAGCTTCGATTAGTGACCTAAGCTATTGCAAGAATCCCAATTTGTGTGCAGGCTTTGCTAAGAATAACTAACTTCATGAAAATTTAGATCTAGAAACCTACAGTGTTACATCTGGTTTTATGTGATCTGTAATTCCACTCACTCTTCCTTGTGTAATAATGTCTAAAATTACTTTTGTCTGAGTGTTTACAAGAGCTGATTGTTCATCCTTCCCTCTCTCTCTTGAAATCAGATTTTGGAAGAAATCTAGAATGTAGTACGTTAGAACATAAATGTGGTGATGTTGACTTTTTCAGGATAAAGAGCTGGTTCTTAGCAATGTGTGTGATGGCTGCTGTTGATCCAGAATAAAGTATTGTATCATAGCAACTGAAGATGCATGGTTAATGGCCAAATAAAATGTTCTTGAAGCTAAGCAGTTCTTAGTTTACACAAGCTGAGCATGGGTTTTCTGTTTTAAAGAACTAGTGAGGTTTCAAGTATAGCATTCTAACCATGTCTAGGGGAAACTAATATAACAAACTTCACTCCACTTTTCCTGTACCAAAACAGGAGAGTCTTGAAGAAAGCCATAGAGGTTGCTGAGTGCCTGGAAATACAGCATACAAATGTTCTCCTCATAGGTAAGAATTTAATGAGAGAGTCCTATTATTGATTTGTTTAAATTCATTCTGAAGTAGCATAAGCTGTAAGTTTATAATTATGGTAGAGACTTGCTAAAATTCATATAGAACTCAAGTAAAGACACCTGAATCTCCCACACTTCTGGAAATGCTTCCTGTAGTTAAAGAAAACATATTAAGCACAGTTCCAGTGTATGAATGAAAAAGGTGCTGATAAATTGGCAGAAAAGTCTTGCTTCAAGAAGAGGTAACATACCTATTTCCCAGTTTATTTTATTTAAGGTCTCCTAGGCCCTTTGCTGTACTTTAAGGGGCTAGGGGAACCATCTCTATACAAAGAAGCAGTAATATGAAAATTTTGAAAAATAACCTTTATATTTTCTAGACACGTTGGATATTCTGCAGACTCTTTATTAAGAATACATGGAATAATGTGCTTATTGTAAACATGTTGAGCAGTTTATTTTCCTAGACTGAGTAATCACATGTAAAATCAAACCTAAAGTTAACCATTAAGTGACTCCTGGATTGGTAATTTAGTTGTTTTTCACACATATTGCCATTCGAGAAGCCTAGCACAGGCAAGAGGTGTTTTCTGGAGGTACCTTTTGGAAAGGACTCTATGTTGCATGAGGAGGCAGTTTCACACCTTGTGACCAGAGCTGTGAAGGATAGGAGGGGTGAGAACAAATGGCTGGGCTGAGGGGCAGTGTGTGCTTGTGGGAGACTGAAGGGCACTACTTATCCTAGTAAGGGTTGGGGCTTGGAGGTTTTATTGTTGAAGTACTTTCCTAGGCTAAGCGTGTAAGTAACCTTAAATTTGGAATCATGGATTAACTTCTCTCTGACTTGCAAAAATGTCTGTGCTACTCTGATCCTGAAATACAGTTTTGTTTATGTGAACATGGCAATGCTTTGCTTTCTTACATAATGTTTGAGGAATGGCTCAGTGTAAAATGTGGTTTCTGTTCCCTTTGTAGAGGAGAGTGCTACTGATCTGTGCTGTGTAATCTCGAGTCTGGTTCAAGTGATGATGGATTCTTACAGCAGAACAAAGTCAGGGTTTCAGAGCCTTATTCAGAAGGAGTGGGTGATTGGAGGACATGGCTTTTTGGATCGCTGTAACCACTTACACAAAAGTGAGAAAGAGGAGGTATGGTTTTTTTAATTGTTTTGCTTACTTACTTATTTATAACCTTACTCAGATGAGGAGGGAATTACCTGTTAGTCCAGAAGTTCCAGTTTCTCTGAGGATCTTGTGTTCTGTTTTATGGGTTGATGTTTGTACAGTGTCACTGTTTTTGCTGTTTAGAGGTCAGCAATGGCTTTATTATTAAAGAGAGCAAATGTAAAATTTCCCAGTCGTGGAGTCTTTTGAAAGTCATATATCCTGTGCCCCTGAAAACCATGTTAAATGGCAGTAGCATCCACAGAAATAACTCAAGTTAATTGCCTGTTCCTGTCACATCTGGAGATCAACTTTTTACTGTCTTGCTTTTGGACTAGATCAGATTGCTATTCAAATGGAAGTAATAGGTGTAAACTGACTAATTCTGATCACGAGTTGCTATAAACTAGTTTGCCACCTTTAAAAGGTTTCGTAGTGGCAACTTCCAAATTCAGAGTAGAAAATGCTCATCTATTCTGTCAATAATTGGCCAAGGATAGCTCAGATAATACTACTTCAAATTTCAGCCAAATGTACATGTTAAGTTCTGTACTTAATGAGGCTTCTTGCCTTAAGATTTGTATTTGGAGACGCTTGATACTACAAAATAAATAGTTTGCATGGTGGAACAATTTTAACTGGTTTTGAAACTGATGAAATTTTTTGTTTACTTAGGCTCCTGTTTTTCTGCTCCTGCTAAATTGTGTTTGGCAGCTGGTACAACAGTATCCTCCAGCATTTGAGTTCACAGAAACTTACTTAACTGTCTTGTCAGACAGCCTCTATGTGCCTATTTTTAGCACTTTCTTCTTCAACTCTCAACATCAGAGAGACACTAGTAAGGTAAGGGTTTGGTATTTTGTAGATGCAGTGTTTTGGAGAATGAGTTTGACCAACAAACAAGGAAGAGCCAAAAAAGCTAATTCCCAACATCACCTTTTTCCTTACTCATGGAACTGCCTTGAAGGGTGAACAAGTGCAGTTTTGGCTATAGGAAGGCAAGTTCAGGACTTAGGAGTTTATGATGACAGAAGGAATACATTACCTATTATATGTAGCTGCAGTTTCATGTTTAATGCCCTTCAGTGAAATTGGAGCTCCTTAACCTACAAGGAATATCCAGCTGTCTGGAAGAAAAAGTTATCTATGAAATTCTTGTATAGTATATAGTATATGTAGTGTATTCCAAAATCAACATCTCCTGAATGTTGATTTATATTGGTTCATGCTCTTCTCTAGCCTAAGAAGCTGGGAGCAATGGGAGTATCCTCTGCAAGGCTGCACAGAGACTAAAGAAAAAAGTGAATTAATGTCTTTCATACAAATATATTGTTGATCACAAAATCTAGACCACTGCACTGCATGAATGCAATTCCAGCTTTTGGTGTTTGGAATCCTAATGTGCCCTCTGTGTTTGAGGAATCCAGACAAGTCTGTCTTTTGCCCAAGTTCCAAAATATCTTTTTTTTTTCCCTGAGAATATTTTACTTTATTTTCATCTGTGAAAGTCTGATTGCACTGTTGTTGTTCAGTATTGAACACTTAGAAAGCAAGAGTGTTATTGCAACTCTGTGTCTTTTTTTTCTGAAAAGCCAGTTTTTTTATTTCACCTTGACTTGGTCAGAATTCCCTTCTAGCAGTATTAAATGTGACTTGTTTGTTTTGGCAGAGTGGGGAAAGCCTCAAGACACAAAGTGGTCCTTTCAGATTCCTTACTGTGTGGGACTGGTCTGTGCAGTTTGATCCCAAGGCCCTGGCTTTCCTGAACAACCCTCTTTATGCAGAGAAACCAAAACCAGATAGAAGTCAACGGAAGACTGCACGGTTCAAAGTAAGATATGTGCTGCTAAACTGGTTTTTTTAATTCTAGAAATATTTTGCACATCTCTTATTTCAAATGTCCTCACAGTGAAAGTATTGGTGCAGACTTTTTTTAATTGACAAAATACATGTATACCTCAGGCCCACCTGGATCTTAAGAACCCAGTTTGCATGTACCACAGTAAATAACTCTTTTATAGTACATAGCTGTGAGTTAGGGATTATTTTTCTTCATACTTCTATGCAAGTCTGTTGGTAAGTCATGAGATTTAATATTCAGGTGAGCTGCAATGATGTGTTTGAAGGGAGTTCATTTAGTTGTTCCGTGGAGTACCTGACTGAAATACATAGGTTTGTAATTGCCTCCCTAATTTTGTCTGAGTGTAACTGGAGTGTGTGTGTGCACTTGGAGTGGGAGGGGGACCAACAACAGCAAAAAGACTGTCTGGAGTATGGAGGATTATGGATGGACCCCCTCATTACTGGCACATAGCTCAAACTCAGGGAAAAGTTTTTGGAGTAGCCTTTTTCAATTGCAGTTCATTGGTTAAATTTTGTCTTGTATAAAGCATTCTCATGTGAGACACTGCCAGTATCATCTACATCTACATCATTTATCTGAGATGCACTGAGGGACCACTGGATAAAAACCTATAAATAAAGTGCTCTCTGATTTCTAACTAGCTTAACCTAAACATGGACACTGGCAATACTTAAATGTAAGCAAAGGGTTTGGCTTTTTCAAAGACAATTGTTTTATCAGTGTCACGTTTGGTTAGCAGGGAAGGAAGCTGGCAACACTCAGTATGCCCTGTAAAGTACTTGATGTATTGAAAAGTAACAATTTAAACACAGCCACTGCTTTTCTATATAGGTCAAGTGACTATTGCTTGCAGGAGATTCCTGAATACAACTTTTTTTTTCTCCCTCGTAAAACTGCTTTCTGAAGTCCCACTCTCTTAATGTTTATCTGAGTATTTTGCCTTTTTTTCCTCTTAAAGCATCAACGGCAGCTTTCTTTGCCACTGACGCAGGCAAAGCCTTCCACGAAGAGAGGATTTTTCAGGGAGGAAACAGATCATTTAATTAAAAACATTCTGGGTAAAAGAATTGGCAAGTTCATAAATTCTTCAGATGAGCCCCCTAATAGCTTAAGGGAGTTTTATGATAGCTGGCATAGCAAGCCTGTTGACTACCACGGTCTCCTGCTGCCGCGCATCGACGGCCCCGAAATCAAAGTCTGGGCACAGCGTTACCTACGATGGATTCCCGAGGCCCAGCTTCATGGTGGGGGAACAATAGCTACAGCTGCCAAGATTTTGGACTTGATGGAGGAAGTGCAAAGCCTGCAGGTGAAAATGGATGAAGAACACAGTCAGGCTGTTTCTGGAGACGTACATTCTGTTCCCATGCTGCGAAATTCTGCCCGTTTGTCATCCTTGTTTCCATTTGCTCTCCTGCAGAGACAGTCTGTCAAACCAGCTTTACCCACTAGCACCTGGAAAGACTTGGAAGATGAAGACGACTTGGTCAAGAGGGATGATGAATTTGTAGATCTAAGTGGGGATATGTTATAACATATATATAGATTACAGTATGGATTGTATGTGGCTAAGCACTGAGTTTTAAATGTTGTGCTGTATCTTCATGTAAGGAACTTGAGCATCTGCAAACTGTTTAATGGGTTTGTGGGGTTAAAAATCCTTGATTGGAAAGAACTACTTGGTGTAATTAACTGAGCATGTTTTGAACTTCCATTTCACTCTAACGATATTTATTGCAGAACCATATTTTTAGCATAGGTGTAAAAAAATGGGAGTCTTGGCTGTAGTAACAATATGGCCACTCTGTTAAAAAAAAAGAAAAAGAAAAACAGCAAAAGAATACTTTCTGCTGTAAAGGTAGAATGATAAATGCATATGGCAACAATCATGCTATCTTAACAGAACATCTCTTTCCCCTTAGGCTAAGAGTACTGGGAATACTGTGATTTGCAAATTCCCCCACATACAAACAGTGAAAGATGCAAGTAACTGTGCACTCACAAGTCAGCTTTTGACAGCTGAGGAATACTCTTGTGGTCTCCAGGGGGATTCTGTCTGCTCTTGGATCAACAGAAGTCATGTGCTTGCCCCTTCCCCTTTGTCACTGTTGGTCTGTGTGGTGGCATGGTCACAGGTTGGCTGCTCTCAGCCTGTGCATGCACTTAGCTCAAGGGTCAGATGCAAGAGCTTAATGACACATTTCAAGTCTTAATGTATGGCTGCTGTGCTACATGCCCTTGCTGCCTTGGAATTTTATGTTTGCTCTTAATTTTAACAAATTGAGATTTCAATTTGCCATGAGTATTTTTTCTCCTTTTAAGTAGAGGGAGACTTTCATTGGAACTTTCCCCCACTGATGCCAGTTGCCTTTAAGGCTTTCTGTAGCTTGCACTGAGACTCTCCACATAGCAGGGAAGACTCTTTTCCTGTAGTCCTGCAGGGAAGCAGGATTTGCAGTCTGTTACCACTTGCCATGAGTTGGTGGTACAGCTTATGAATGTGGTGTTTATAGAACACTCGTGTCCTGTTGCTGGATGTTATAACAGTACCTCAGTGAAAGAAGCCATAAAGAAATGCCTGTTGACTTGGATCTACTGTGTGTATGTTTATACAAATTTTTACTGCAAATAGTTATCCTTTTTAAAGCTGAATATTATTTGACTGTCAGATCTGTTTTTAACTCTTAAATTCCACAATACCCCAAGAATGGATTCAAGTTGTAAAATCAGTTACACTGAGAGGTTACACATTGAATATTTTTTCTGTTCTCATAACAATTTAGAAATCCATGCTGGAAAACTTAGCTGGTGGATAAACTGTTGCTTAAATTTGATCAGCTCGGTGAAACTTGGGGATATTAAACTTTTGTTACTGACTTATCACTTCATACTGAGTTGTATTAATATATAGCAACAATTCATCAGCAGCCCTCTAAAAACAAATTCTTATAACTGGGAAAGGGGAGAGCTTGATGCAGCTATGCCAAACTGAAGCTTTCCAGCTCTTAATTGCCTTAAAGTCTTAGTGCGAGGACAATACTTGAGTTTGTAGTGTTTTATTTAAAAATACAGTAGTACTTATGCTTTCTTCTGTGATATTTACAGCTAGCACTTGCTAGAATGGGTTGTACAGCACATTTCCTTCAGGCTTAATTGTAATTCATGTGACTCATGTATGCAATAATACTTTGCATGTTGAATGAGCAGTGTATTATTACAGTGAAGAAATACTTGTCCTTCTAAGGTCATTTGGGTTCAAGGGTGGAGTTTTTTAAACACTGCCATAAAAAAAAAGATTACAATGATTTTCTATACTTTTGATCAAACTGTTGTAATGTTTCAGTCATGAAGATTACATATTTGTATTAAAGAACAGATGTTGGACATCTTATTTGTACATAAGTTATCAAAAATATATATAGAAGAGAAGTATATATCTGGAATTGAACATGGGAACACTTCTAATGTAGAGTAAATACCATTGTTGCTGGTTTTCTGCACTGAAGGATTGGAAATATACTTCATATTTTTACTCCAGGCTTTTGTTTATACCTCCAAGTTCTAACACTGAATGCAAGCTAGCAGTTTTACAGGTTTTTGTCTTCTTTTTTCCTTCTTTTTTTAAATACTGTTTCTTCTCTTCGGGCTGTTTGAAGAGTGTCAATAAAATATACTTTGAATTATTCATCCTGAAATAAGAATGTATGTTTAAGGTCCACTTTGCAAGGGATGCACTAAATCACAGCAGAATTGGCAATCTGCAGTGGCAAGGCTTTTCAGGCTATATCCTGATTTTTACAGACTGTTAGGGGGAAGCTGTCCAGTTTTGGTCTGGCTGTACTTCTGATGCCACCAATGCAGGAGAGAGGACAGTTCAGTGCAATGAAGTAGGATGGCTGTGGGAAGTTAAAGGTGGTCTAGAAATTGTCTCCTGATTTTTTCCAAGACACTACAAATTGCTAGCCCCTGGTCAAAGCAGCACTAGTGCAAATCACACATTAAAAACCCATGAACATTACAAGACTGTGCCAGCTTTGTTCTTGAAGCCCCACACAGCAGTAGCTGTGGGTCATGTTGTACCACAAGGTGTGCCTCTGCCTCACCCACACCTGCTAAAGACCAGCAATTGTACTTTGACCGCTTGGCTTTGATTTAAGATTGTATTCACTATTGAAAAGGTTCAGCTGTTGTTGTGCAGCATAAAGGAATGCAAACATGCACTTCATTAAGGTGTTTACAGCCAGCTTGCCCTCCTGATCTTTTGCTCCAGCTGAAGCTTTTTTCCTTTTGTGCTTGAAGCACAGAAGTATAATTTCTTCCAGGGGCACATGAATACTTTCTGCTGATGATTTCTTATAATGGATTAGTTTTGTCACAGCAGAGGTCACCTTCATTCTAAACTACCTGGAGACCTCATGCAGTATTTACGGCTGGGTGCTCCTTCACAAAGAGCTAGGTTTTGCATAAATCTCTAAAAATTGTGTGAAGGACTTCATTTTCTGGGATAGGAAGGAGATTTTTAGTAGTGACTTGACTGAGTCTGAAAAAAGCATTCTGTGTGCAGAATTATACATGCTTTTCTAGGGTGAATTGGGGAGGGTGAGGAGTGGAAGGGGAAAACCCTTCTTAGGGTCTTGCTTCCTTTTTCTTGATTTGTAATAAAGTCAACATGACAAATGCTTTTTGCCAGCATTTGCAGGATGACAGAACTTGGTGGGATAATAGAGTTAACTTGGAGAGGAGTGGACACAGAAGATATGGAGAGCTGATAGTTGAGCTGGAGACAGTTATGTGGGGAGGGCACCACCTTGTTGAGTACAAAGGCAATGTGGTTCTTCAGCCTGTGTTAGAAGGACATGGCCAGACATTTACACACAGTTCTGAGCCCCAGAGGACTCCCTCTGCTTGGGTGCTAAGTTTGACTGGGTGACAGCTTTAAAAGTGCTGTGGAGGCTGAGAAGATGTAATAGAGGACTGCTACTATCTTGGCAAGTGTTTGGACAGGCAGTGCATGCACAGTGCTGCTGTGTTTGGCTGCTGTGGAGCCCTGTAGAGTAAATGCTGTTGCTCAATTGCAGCATGTTGCTGTGCCTTCAGCAAGCATTTGTTTTCCCTGGTTTTCCTGTAGCAACCCCGTAAAACGAATAGGAATTTCCCTTAATGTTATCCCTTGATGCTTAAAGCAGGTGAATAAGACATGCCTAGGAAAAATATTTGTAAATTTTTCTCATGAACAGCAAAGGTAGGAAGACTGATTTCCCATGGCCTTGACTTTCTGGCCAGACCACTCAATTTCATCCTTTCTTCTGACATTTCCTGCCCTCACCCATGCCAGAACATCTTCGGTCTCCATCCATCTCCTCCCTGTTCCTAAGTCATGTGCTGTTCCAGCAGTTCATAGGTTTGTCACCTCTGCTGACTTGCTGGACAGCTCAAGCGCTGTGACTCTGTTCCTGGGGGACCAGGTAATGCTCAACACTTGGCATGGCCTGGCCACGTAGCCTCCGGATTGCCTGTTGGAATCTAGCAACTTCTGAAATAATTTTTTGTCAAATAGAATCAAAATTATTTAGTGGTTTTCAAAGCAGGTGATGGATAGAACATGGATTAGATGCACAGTGTCGTTAGTAAGGAAATCAGGATAGGAGAATGCAACAGAAACCTCTGTATCTGCAGTTCAGGCATGATCCAAATCTGAAGTTCTCAGGCTAAAAGCAATGCTTCTCTCAAACAGGAAAATCTGTTCATTTACAACCAAGTCAGGTACCCTGGTTTTCTCTTAAAGCAATTTTTTTTTAAGTATTGCATTTTGTCTTTTTCTGGGTACTGAAATAAAATTTTCTTTATACTATAAAAGCCAAAATTCAGTCTATGGAACCACTGAATTTCCTTCAAACCAGCTGATATTTCTACAAGTTCTGAAGTTTACAAACCATAATTATTGCTATCTGAAGAAAATTTCCAATTAAGAACAGATAACACTACTAGAAATAATGTACAGTTTTGCTAATAGAGTGTAAGCCTTCAAGTCTTCTTAAGACTTTTAAAAGTCAGAACTCCATGAGCTCACTTTGCAATCAGTGGGACTAATTTCCTTTTATTTTGGAGACATTAATTGAAAGTATGTTTATGCATGAATGTGATGACAGAGATGCTAATTTTATCTGGAGGGTGTAAGTGCTCATTGCTTTATGTTTTGGTGATGCAAGAATATATTTCCACTCTCACTCTGACCCCAATTCATAAATCAAAACAGAATGTTCCCTCACCACCATCCTTGAGTGCACTATACACATGAACCCAGTTAGTTTCCTACAAGCCACTTCCTGTATTTTCCAGTTTCCCATCCCAGACTTTCCACTTTGGATTCACCATTAGAAAACATTTCTTCCTTTTCTGATGGTTGTTCATTTAACTTTGGAAAATACTGATTTTATACCTGCCAGCTGCACTTAGTTTTTCCTTTTGCAAGAGGTGGTGGGAATATTTGAAAGCCAGACGAGAAGTACTACAGATGACTTAAAACAGTTCTCAGAGTACAAGGTCTCTTACTTCCCTGCCAATACAGAGCATGGTTGTTCAGGAAGTTGTGTTGTTATTGTACTATTATTCTTATTTTTATTTTATTTTATTTTATTTAGAGTGAGTAATATCCTCCTGCACAGCACTTTTTCACAAACAAAAACTGCATCAATGAAAAAGCAGGATGGTAATCCCAAAATGTGTTTTCTAGTGCAATACATCTCCTGTAGATTCAGCACTTCGTGGTGATGGTGCCTGCACAAGTGACAGCAGAACGATGGTCTGCTCTCCCAGCAGGTTTGGGATTGGGTTGCACCTGATCTACTAATCACTGCCCAGCAGTGCCCTCACACTGCTGCTTGCCAGCTGATTTTATGGAAATCAGTGTTTTGCTTTTGTGGATTAGCTTTTCAGCTCGTTGATCCAAATCACCCCGTGGGGATGCAGGGGGAAACAAGAGGAGCAGATTGTTTGAGGATGCCCCTCTCACTTGGCAGCCCCCAGGCAGAGCAGATGAGGTGCAAGGTGGAACCACAGGTGCTGGAAAAGTCACTCTCCAGCTGCTGTGCTGCTGAAAAAGAGATAAATCCTGGGAACCACCTCTAATGTGCAGTGAGCTGAAATGCTGTAAATAGCACGCACAGTCAGCTCCAACTATTTAACATTCTGAGGGAAAACAAAAAGACAGGGAAGAAAGAAACACAATCCAAACCAGCTGTGTTTTGAGGTTGCCTGTAGAAGCCTTACAAGGATGATTTAAAGCACAGCTGTATTGGATCTGACCTGTTTGTCACAGCAGGAAGGTAAGTAAGGTGAGCAAACCCGGTGAACTCAGTTTATGGCCATCAAACATGTTCTGATGCTCTTCAGGCCTGTAGTTCCTTAGGCTGTGCTTTGGTTGGGCTGGCAGGGTCTTAAATACCATTTTGCTGCCTGTGCTGTGAGCAAGCAGTGATTGAGGGCAGCTGCTGAAAAGCAAATATCGTGTTCTGACTTGTAATCTAAAAAGAGGCATTGCTCAGAAGGTGGTTTTGGATTCCTGGTGCGTTCCTGCTGTTCTCTTCAAAGCTTCAGCCACACATAGGTGAGCTGATTGGTTACTCCCCCACTCTCCTTTAGCATATTTTACTTACTTACTTCTCATTTGTATTTAGATTTAATGCAGGTGATCTGTTCTGTCTATAATCTGCTCATTATTTCTCTCAGGTGTAGAATCTAGTACTTTCTCTAATTTTCCATGAAAATTTATCTGCCTAATGTTGTTCTGAAAGCAATGGTCCTTTTTATGATTCAAATTGCAGCTGAATAGCTGTCTGGCAGAAATGATGATAAAAAGGGCAAGTTAGTGAAAAGAAATACAGTAATAGTAAAACCATTACTCAATGGTTTGGAATTAAGAAAGAGGCTGCATGAATATGGCAAACGTCCGGAGTTCTGCAGGCAATAATGAATGTTAGAAACAGCTGAAATACAATTACCAGGGACCCGGAATGATTTAGGCAGCAGGAAATTACTGAACATAAACTTTTTTTATAATCTTCGGGTTTTATTAAAGTAGTAATAGCCCTTCTTGTGCTGGTTGCTGACATTAATATTCTGTCTAGGTTGATGGACATCCTTCTTCTCCCTGGACATTTTCCCTCTCAGTTATTAATGTACAGCCTGCTACCTTCCAGCTCCAGCCTCAGAAGGAAAATGTCTCCCCAGCTGCAACACATGGAGGGAAAAGTTGACTGACATCTTTGCATTTGTTAGGGGAGCATTGTAAATGGCTGTTCCCTGCCAAGAAATTTCTTTTGAGAAGTTACATTTAGTCAGTAAAATAGCACCTGAGCATGCCAAACCGGAGTTGGAAAAAGGTAAATTTAATCATAGGACTGAAAAGGAATTCTTTAATACACCTGAACTGAAGAAAATAAAGAAGAATTAACTCTTTCCATGGACAAGTGGGAAAAGACTTGTCCCCTGCAGCCCTGGAGGAGCCCACACCAGAGCAGGTGGATGTGCCTGAAGGAGGCTGTGAGCCCATGGAAACCTGTGCTGGAGCAGGCCCTGCCAGGACCTGTGGCCTGTGGAGAGAGCAGAGCAGCCCACACTGGAGCAGGCTCCTGGCAGGAGCTGTGACCCCACAAGGGACCCACAGTGGAGCAGCCTGTTCCTGAG